ATAATTGTTACATAAAAAAAATAATGTAACATGATTTCTGACAACAAATGTGACCAATTTTCACTGTAAAGGGTATGATTTCTAAAAATAGAATTTGACATGCCTGTCAGTAATAGGTATGAAACCACTAATTCATAGCCCCATTGCTTTCTATGTTAAATTCTGCTATTTCAAGCATAAATGGCTACTTTGTCTTAAGTTCAAATAAAGTGGCAGTTATTTCATGTCAAAACTGTACCTTATGCAGACTTGTGCTGAAAAAATCAACATACCTTTAATTGCATATTAGAGCGTACTGGTTCCCGGAAGTTTGATAGTACAAAAACAGGAACTTCTGATCTGAACAACAGGCCAAATGAGCTCTCCTATTAAAATTTCATATACTTCTTTATTATTCAACTAAAACTTTCAACAAGGATTCTACAGTGATCCCAAGTCCCCAAGCTTTCATTTGATACTAAAACTATCCAAATATTTCCACTATTGACAAAGATACAGCTATGCGTAGGAACTATTTTGTTTAAACTATGTACTACTTTCTTGTATGTTCTTTCCGACCGGGCCTGAATTAGTGGTTCTATACCTCAAAGAAAGAAAGATTAGAATATGACTTAAGATTAATTAATAACTGATACTATATTAATATATTTTTTTTTATTGATTTCGATCTTCTGTCAGGTCAGGACCAACACGACGTACCATTTATGGCTCTCTTTTTCATTTAAAAAAGTTCGTCCTATGTTTGATCAAAAAAATTAATGACAGACTACATTTAGTATGCACATATCATATTTGTTACCTAATTTTTTATCGTAAAGGTCCAGAAATAAACAAACATCTAGTAAATTATACGTTTAGATGTCACGAAGCACGTAGATCCGGGACATTAAAATCAAATTTCTTATTCACAGCCATCTCATTATTACTCACCTTTTGAACGTATTTGCATGTTGCACCTTTTTTTGTAATTGCTTGTATCATCTTCTTTGCGTAATTGCTTGTAACAAGTTTCAAAATTGTTGTCTTACAGAATATATAATCTTATCGCGTTTGACCCTGAGATATATTAAGTTACTTGCTCTGCAAGTATTATGGCTATCTTTTACAATTTCAATCATTTTATGTAATTCTGTTGATTATTTAATGAAATTTTAAAAACCAAGACCATTTTTGTATAATAGTGTCTTTCGTTGCCATAGCAACCACATGAAAAAAGCATGGTTTTTATAGTGTTGTTTTCATCATCTTACTTAATTTGTACTTTATCGGGAAAGTGTATTTTGTCATTATATTTTACTAAACTGTACCATTAAATAAAAAAAAATTTGTTGGCATGTTTGTTAGATTAATTTGTATGTGTGTTTGGATTTTGTTTTACGTTAGTTGTGTTGTATAATCTTTGATGTATGTTTAAACAATTTTGACAGCTGGGTCCCAATTATAGTCATGTTAACCAAATTGCGTCTTTTTGGGTTCCTAGCACAATTTTGTTGATAAAATGAACCTATAAATGGTTCATTCCTCCTATTCCCACTTTTTATAAATCTGGTAAGAAAAGTTAAAATTTCATGTGGGAATAGGGGGAAAACTTGTGCAAACAAAGGATTATACTGTATAAACATTGTTTAATCAACTTTCAATTGACAAGTGTTTTTTTGATAGGTTAAAGGTTATTTTTGTATGTGTTAAGTTCTGTGTTTTTAATTCAAATTAATATGAAAGAAATGGAAACAAATATAAGTAAATTTATTTTATGTCTTTTATAACACAAATTCAACAGTAGATTCAAGCAAGCATTATAATATGAAACACACAATACAAGTTAACAGCACTAAAACAAACCACACATTGTAGCACACACATTAGAAATTCACTGTATATAAGTCTATGAATGTTTAATAATCTATTCAACGTGAATAAGGTGGGAGGCTGCATCACCAAACTGTACTGTTGTAACTTCCTAGTTGCAATATCTATCCATAAGCTCATCTAATCTGTTGTTGATTTCCACATACTTTCGTTTTTGGGCCACTCTCTTCCCATCGGCTGCATACTGGATCATGGTCAGGGCTTAGCTTCCTCATGTTTCAGTAGTTTTATGAGTTTAAAGATGTTTGGATGTGGGTGCTGGACATGTTTTATCAGCTTGCTTTGCCATCCCTCTAGATGATGTGTAGTCCTCAGTCCCTGTGTTGTGTAATGGTCTCATCAGTATTTTGTTACTTAGTCTGTAAAGGGCGTGTAGTTGCTGTTAGTATCAATCTGATCTATGTCGATTAGGGCATTGAACCACACATCTTCGACCTCAGCAGTAGGTAAAAGTGGAAGGACAGCGGCACGGCGTTCTATTTGATGAATGTTGTTGTCTTTCTTGTATGGAACCCGAATCCCCGCTCCTTGTGCTTTTCTCCAGATGCATTGTATAATGGAAAAAACAAACATCTTTCAGTAAAGTCAGGAACCTTGTGTATACATTTTTTTTGTACTAGTTCGCTCTTGGCTGGAATTAAACTGTGTACCAGTGGATACATTGCACCTTCAACCATTGTGTGAAATGTATAAAGTCTGTGAAATTTTCTTTTCGTCGAAAGTAACCGATAGGGGAGAATCTGATATTAATAAATTTTCGTCAATATTTATTATTAGGTTTTTAACTTCTTTTTCAAGTTCACCATTTTCATTTTGAAAGGAACCTATGGAGCTAAAATGGTGGAAAAGGGCATTATTTCTCTCATCCGTAGCCGTTTATATTTTATCAAAATCATGTGGATCATTAAGCTCTATATGTCCTATATCAGTTCGTTTTATTTTAAGGAAATTCCAAAACCCTTTCATTTTATTTTTTGCGTTTATACATTTTTCATTTAACTTTCGGATTTTAGCTGACCGTTCTTTTCTTTTGATGGCCTCTTGTACTTGTGCTTTCCGATTAAAATAGAAATTTAGGTTTACAAATTCAATGATTTTTTAATCTTACTTTTGTTTATCTGATTTATTCTTTATTTTAAGGTAATTCTTTGAATAAGAAAAAAACATGTTACAAATAAACAGTGGATTAATTTTTTTTTTTCAAAATATACTTAAACAGTGAAAGAAATATGTGTTCTTTTAAAAAAATACAGGTAAATCTTAGGTCGATTATTAATTAACCTTGATTGTTATAAAAACAAATTATTTATCAAAACATCTATTGTTATTTTCATGTGGGAATAGAAGGAATAGTGATTTTAAAAAGTGGGAATAGGAGGAAGACACCCTATAAATATTTGTCAAACAGGTGGGAGGTTTAACCAACCGTGTTCTACAGAACATGTCTTTACCGGTCAGGGGTGTGACAGTTGTTTTCCATTTGTTTTGACGGTTGATATTGGGGGGTCTGGGTGGGGTTTACAGAAAAGAGAATATTGGGTAAAAAGTGCAGAATAAAGAGCAAAAAAAAAGTATAGAGAAAAATAGGCAAAAAATATAAAGAATAGATTGTAATGGGGTGCTGAAATAAACAGAATAAAAAATAATGGGTATATTTTAAAAATGAAGAAACGAAAGAAAAATGGTAAAAAAAATTAAAGAATAAAGAAATTAAGGACTCCTCATCTAGACTCTCATTTAGTATAGCGTTTGATTCTGGTATTATGTGAGGGACAACTAACCCCCTTTTTGAATTTACCTTGGATTTGGGAATTTTTATTTATAATTGTTTTACCTTTCAAACCATTCATTATAGTATGAAATTATCTGTAACTTAATATTGAAAGCTACCGTCGTATTTGAAGAATTTGGTATCAAGTCGAATTTCTAAAATCAAGAGTTTTTAGGTAGTATAAAGGAATTACGTAATTTTACATTATCTTAGAACATGCTCTGCTTAACCTTTAATATCTAAGCTAACTTTAACTGAAAGCGTTGAATGACATATACAGCTTGTTCTTTGAAATTCACACTCTCTAACAACGTATTTTAAAGAGCTGATTGCTATTGAATATAAGGTTTAAGACTTTGAAAATGTTACATATTCAACGATAAACTCAAGAAGTTATTAGTTGAACTATAAACAACTATTATACAGGTGGGAAGTTTAGCTAGCTATAAATCCAGGTTTAATTCACATTCTCCTCGGAAAATGCCTGTACCAAGTCAAGAATATGACGGTTGTTTTCCTTTCGTTCTATTGATTGATAAAGATTGACGTTTGATTTTGTCAGTTTTTAATGAACCTTTCCTTTTTTAATTCACCTTGAAGTTCGGTATTTTTGTTATACTTTTTTATAATTGAAGCAACTACTAAACATGTACACATAAAAAAACTGTCTTGCTGATTTTAGGCAGTCTTTCTATGGAACTCTTCGGAAAAAAAGTTCAATTTCAACATACACATCCTGAAAGAAATATAAAATTCTGAATATGGTAAACATGACGCTACATTGAAGCTTTTTTAACAATTTGAAAGCAATGTGGTTACATGTTCTAGTGACAATAGGTCTTTATCCCATGTGCACAGAAGCTTATGCTTTCAAAACTGTAACATAGGCAGGAATACTGTCAGATTCATTTGAACAACTATGTGTGTGCAATGTACTTTTTCACAAAGATGAAGACATACACAGTAAATTTGCAATTGCTTTTAGGCGAATAAACCATGTAACCATTTGAAACTATTCTGTAAATTATGTTTATATTTTGTAATACCTTGTTTAATATATAGTTAACGTATATGATTTTAGGTCTGCTTGTACAATGAACTACTTATAAAGGCAGTCATTTTGCTTTAGGTCCAGCAATGGTTGAGAAAACAAGTTACAGAAAAAAATTTGTATCATTCGTTCTTATTATATAGAAATTAAGCAAATATATTGTATATCTGTTATTTGTACAATAGTAAACTGAATGCAAAATATAATACATTCAAACGATAGAAATTCCTTATAATAACTAAAACCTGCATTTCTTATGGACCGTGTTCACAAGTAGGAACTGTTGAAGAAAAGACTAATAGAATTAAATTTAAATTGGTACGTTCATAATATTTATTAAATAAAAAGTAAATGATCAAATGTTGAGCATCCCAATTTCTTTTCACTTTTATGTCGTATCTAAAAAAAAAACACAAGATCAGAATAACATTTTAGTATTTGGAATACATTTTGCAGTACTAAACATATTCTTTAAAGCATTCTAAATTATTCTAATATATGAGAATAGCGAAAATCAAGAGCCTTCGATATAAGACAAATCCATATACAAACATACAAACAACAAATGGTTATAATATTGTGTTCCCTACTTGTATATCGTGTGTTCATGTGGTAACTATTGGTATGGATGTACACGTCAAGTGAAACAGGAAACCAATGACAATAGATGTATGTTTTTTTCAATCTTGATTGTAATACACAATTGCCACATAACAAATATAATATCATGCACCATGAGGGTATTCCGAGAAAAAATAATCGTTAATAGTGCTCGAAAAAAACCAAATATTGGAAATCCGCAAATATCCTTATGATAGTGCTCGACTGCAAGACTCCCCAAATTTATCATCCGTTCCCAGTGGTAATCCATTTCGGAATTTTGTCACGCTCAAACTACTTTGTAGAACATACACATTTGATCACTTGTTTATTATTATCCGTTCTGAATATGCGTGAAATGTTTCCTGTCGGTCATTAAGCAAAGCTCAATCAAATAATCAATCATATATATTTCATCTGATGAGGGATTGCAAATTATAACCCTAAATAACACCTAAATAGGACTCCATATTCAGTAAAAGCGCTATGAAAACCTATGTATTGAGAAAATGACCTTTAAAGATAACGAAGATCTCATTCTTAAAACCCCTTTGAGTTGACGAGTACATGTATGTTTGTTACTACTTTCTTTATAGTTTGAGTTAAATTTGGCGAACTGAAGCTCGCAATGAATTCAATTGTCTATATATGATTTGACTGTAATTGTTAGACGCCTTTAATAACCTTTCGACATTTTGTAGAAACATTCACTCCACTCTTAGTATTTATATTTTTTACTCTTGTCTATTTTTTGCTATTGTTATAAAGTGTACCATTAAGAGACTACACCCGGTCTTGCTTCTATTTGGAGTTCAATCAATTATCTCTGATTTGAATTGTTACCTTGATTGGTCTCACTGTCATCGATTTATGTGATTTGAACATCGATAAACTACTGTCGCCTTAATTTCCTACACTCCATGAGTGAAATGTATACAGGATTGAATATAGATAGATATATAATAACAAACAAAGAAACACAAAACAAGCGTGAAATTCAAGAACTACAACGTCTTAGGTTTTCAGTTTTTTTTTTATATATTATTCGAATGGAAACTACACCATTAAGAGCTTGCCAATTGAATCTTAAAAGCAGCCATGCGGATGAATTTTCAGTCCACTAGCAACTATGTGGTCACAGTAACACTTATGTTTGCCTACCTTACATTTTGATGCAATTAATGCCTGACAACCTTTTTGGAAATAAACTACATATCCTGTCAGACATTTCATATCCTGCAAATCGATTAACTCTGCATGTAGTGATAACATCTGCAAAAGGAATATCATTAAGTGTGCATGTAAGTACTATATCATTTCAAACAGCAAAATCAAGTAAATAAACTCATTATGGATCATTTGTACGCCCGACACGCGTTTCGTCTAAAAAAGACTCATCAATTAACAATCGTACAATATTCAAATTTTAGTTATTACATTTTTAGGTTTACGACTAGTATATTTCTTATATTAATTTTGTATGGATTTTAACAAAGTATGAACAAGGATTGGATTTTAAATTATGTTCGATTTGGGTACTAAAGAATTTATATAGCGATTAGCTTTTGTTGTTGTTAATTTAATGATCGCTTCAGATCGATCGTCGTTATATACATTTATAATGAAAACTAAGAAATTTGTACACAATGTAAATAAAGGCTGAAAGGGCACTATATCATTGTATCAAACCCTTTCAAAAATAATCTCCTTTTTTTAATCGACAAAAATGTAATTATTTCTAGTGAATATATAACTTTTGTGCATTTGGATTTTGTGTTATTTATTAAACAGGAAGAACATCATACAAGCTTAATTTCTGCATATACATGTATGGCAACATACTAATCACGAATTGTATAATTTAAGTAATTGAAATATCATCAACATTACTGTTTTGCCAGTTTTTAAATATTGAGACATGGAAAAAACTAACTATCACATGATCTTAATTGCATGCACATTGTATAAATAAGAAAAAAAATCGCTATAAAAGCGAAGAAAGCATATGAGAAAAGGAAAAAAAAGGTAATTTTACGATTAAATCTCGTCAGAAAATGTCCTTGCAATTTCACAACTTGCATTATATTTATGTTATTGTATTCTACAATATTGGATATTTGGGTTTCATATCCAATCTTACGTCAAATATTTCTTGCTGCCACAGCCAAAATCATAAAACGGTAATTTAACCCTGCAAAAACTATCGTTGTAATTTTGAGCAAATAGAATGAACTTTGGATGTAAAAGAAAGTTCCAGAACTAGTTTTAAGCTTTCCAGTGCGGCCTTTAAAGATGTGATAATCCCCTTAAGAGTAACTCTATATATATTTTTCCAAAGGTTTGACAGGAGAGATAATAACTTTAACGGTACCAATTTTACTGTAATACATATGCATTTACAAAATGTATGTCTCTTCAGTGATGCTCAAAGCCAAAATATTTGAAAAACAAGAGCTTATAAAACGTTGAAGATCTGATCAAACCAAAAAGGTAAGATAATGAAATGTTCGGGATAAAACTTTGCTTTACATTTTTTTCTAACATTTTGATATCCTTACACCAGGGTCACTTTGATTCTTATCAAGTCTGCAATTAGACTTGTTTTAACTAGAAGAACATTACAGAACATTTTCAAATAATATTGAATATACAAAGAAATACTAATAAAACGTTATGTTTTTACCTCTACAATCCTCCTGGCATGGTGGCACTTTTTTACCATTCTCGCAAAGCGGAAGAATAATGGCACATCCTATTAATTCAGCAGCTTCTCTGGGAAGTAGACATACAATAGTCTTGGAGAATGTGTCAGTCAGCAGTGCATCAGCATCGCGTACATTAAGATGCCCAAGAAAAGTCGGAAACATTGTGACATTAAAACCATATTTTTCACAGTTGGTACTCTTAATAGGAACGCATTGAGCTTAAAAGGAAAAATATATCGTATTGAACACTATCCCCATGGAGCTTGTAGTAGTTCATTTAGTGACTGGTGGCAATTTACAAAACTGACCATACCGTATATACAGATGATCTATACTTATGTCTATACATAAATGTTTCTCCTAGAATTTTTATTTGGAACATTGCATTATATCATTTTAGAAACAGATTTTATTACTAAACTCCATTGACTTCAATATTTATAAGCCCCCATATAGTTAAATTTCCAAATGTGACTATCGAGAGTGAATAGATTAAGGCGACAGTAATTTACCGAAGTTCGAATCTTGAAGTTGATATAAAAGAGACAACTCATGGTAATAAACAATAACTGAGAGAAGGAACGAGACCGATGCGTCGACAGGGTAAGCGTGCACTGCTAAGCATGCATCATCCAGCATGCGAATTCACATTCAGTCAAAATGTCAAAATTGAGAATAGGACAAAATCGGTTGAATTATAGATCAGACGACTTCATTGGTATCTAAAGATAGAACACAGCGAAAACATGTCGCTATGGAGTTGACACATTGTATCGGTCAACTAGTTCGTGATGGTGACCGTAAAACATATGTAGCAATCAATAGGGTTGCGGGGATAGTCTTATCTTTTATAATATCTAGCGTATATCGGTTGTATAACCTGTAGACACTTGGTTATGCTCAACATATGATATTTGCGATTTTTCTTTCTTTCATTATTAAGTTAGATCGGGTGTCTTTATCTGAGTATCCCTTCGTGGCATGTTGCAATAATACTTTTTTGGTTTAATTTTTTTTGCCAAATATCATTCAATATACAGCAGAAAAATCTAAATCTTGAATTTTTGAAAGATTTAACTATCAGAATATTAAGCGTCGTTTAGTGTATTCAAAATTTTCTGAAAAAAATCTTTTGAAATCAAGGGAAGATAGTTATATTGATTTTGATAGGACAATTTTTTTTTTCATTTTTCAAAAAAATAAGGACCTTTTGATTTTGTTCTCATTATGAGGTTTTTCCACTTTTCCGTTGAAAGACCTTTTGATTTTGTTAGGACATTTTTTTTCTACCGCCTAGTATTTTTCAATCGCTGTATTGTTGTTTAAAAAGATGTCGCTTAGATATTTTGTATATGTATGATATCGACAGTTAATACACTTTTGCAACTGACACTGCTTAACCGAACACTTTCCCTTGTAGGAGTTATCTACCTGAACACTGTTTTTTTTTTGTTCTCACGACTCATTCGCCACCGTAAAAGGAGGGTAGGAATGCCCTTTACCGTCAGGCGTCAAAAGGTCATTTTCGGCTACCGTTAGCGTCAAATTGATTAAACTTTTATCGTGATTCGTCAAAATATCCTTATCGTGATTCGTCAAAATATCCTTATCATGATTCGTCAGAGGTCACAAATGATTAACCGTTACCGTTATTTTTTGAAAAAAACTAAACGTGATTCCTCAAAATCAGTCGATTATTTTATTGTCATAAAGAAAATGTACATTTTATCGTCATGCACCAAAAATTACCGTTAACGTCATTTGGCAAGATTTTTTACCGTTATTCGTCATGAAGGTACCCCCATTACGACCCTCTAAAAGATGATGACAAAAATATTTTTCCAAATTGCTCGTTACATCCTCAGGATATCGAGAACAATTCTGACCGAATCGACCCAGAGACTCGATATGATAGTTATTTCCCTTTATGTATGCAATATTAGTGAAATGAAATTGTAACAGGCTAACAATTAATTATAGAGACCTAGGTTTTTTTTATTTGAGGTCCTTTGTCCACAAAGCAGATAATTAGGTCAAGGTCAAAGGTCAAGGTCATGTTATAATTTTTTTACTTTTATTAGTTATTGCTCCTTCTTAGCACCCATAATAAATATCAACAAAAGGTATTTAATATATTGTAAGTTACGACAAAATTTATTAAAGGTTACGGTGTCATTAAATAGAGGGTTGCACTCCCCTGGAAAGTCCAAAATAAGATGTATGGTGATATGACTCATTTATCATACACGGTAGAGATCTTTGGATATGAAGTCCTTGTCTTCTGACCTTGAAATTGAGGTCATGGTCATCATAAAATTTGATACGATAATCGTACTCGAATTTGTTATGACTGCAAAGCCTGCAGAGGTGTCGACCCAACTATAGTAATAATATAAATGGTACCATTTATACTAGGCACGATGCACATTTCGACAACAGATGTCTTTTCAGTTATTCTCAATGCCAAATATTTGAAAATCTAAAACTTATTCAGAAATTGGAGAGCTAATAAAACCAAAAAGAACAAAAGGTATAGCCAAAGCCGGGAAAGGAATAGGAGCTTTGCATGAGGGAGATCTATTTGAACCAGAATTGCTTGATATCCAAAAAACAACACTTTATAAATTGCATACGTCCGAAACGCTTTTCTTTATTAACCGTTATCGTGAACGCTCATGGCCGGATATTTTAAAGCTAAGGATGTAGAAGATATAGATATAAGAAGATGTGGTATGAGTGCCAATGAAACCACTCTCCATCCAAGTCACAATTTCTAAAAGTAAACCATTATAGGTTAAAGTACGGCCTTCAACACGGAGCCTTAGCTCACACCGAACAGCAAGCTATAAAGGGCCCCAAAATGACTAGCGTTAAACCATTCAAACAGAAAAACCAAGAACCAAAACAGTTGAAGAGGTTTAACCCCATTTGATCACTCTTGAGTGAGTTGAAACCTTACTTTCTTTATCATTTTTAAATTCATAAACGGACAATTTAAGACAACTCTGTTATAAATCATGTCAGCACCGAAGTACTGACATCTGAGAAACTGAATTCATCCTGTTTTGTTACTGATATGTCTATATTTTCTTATTGATGTTTTGAGCACTTTTTTTTCGGCAATGGTGATGTTTATCTTTCATTGAATTACAGAGGGCGGCTGTGGTCGAGTGGTCTAACTAATTGATAACTTGTCTGTGAACACTGAGGTTGTAAGTTAGAACCCTGATCGTGGAAGATGCGGTCGACTACGATCTTAATTGCGTTGGAATGCCAGTTTTCCTCCCTAAGGTCGGTGGTTGTCTTCGAGCACCCCGTTATCTTCAACCAATAAAATATGACCGCCATTTTATAGTCAAGAGTGATCAAATGGGGTTAAACTCCACCAATCAAACAAATAATCTATCGACTTATGACTTTTATTCTTTCTTCATATCTAATTTAATTCTACCAACCGTATTAAAGTATTGAGCGGAGTATACATTTTGTATAATTTTGGTTACCTAAGATTTGTTGTAATTCTAATTTCCTAATGTATTAAAATAAAATGGTTACGTATTGATGTATGTATTCTGTGCCGCGAACGTTTCAGTGAGTACTGACCAATCAGAAAAGTTGTTTTTTATTGTTTTCCTTCATGAAGTATTCCTTAATTCAACAAGTACTTACGATTGTCGTTTTTACTTGCGGTTCATTTGAGACCTAATGTTTGCGAAGCCATTTTGATTGTTAAATATCATGTGCACGCAAATATATCATTTCCTATGATATAAATTCAAAATGATTTAGACGCAAAACATTAGATTCGTAATTGCTTAATTGAATATCATCACTTTAATCTACCTATTTTTATCTTTTGATTTTATGTTGTCTCAAGCTCTCAAGCTGCATGCATTTGTTTAATATTTGTATTTATGACAAGAACGCTAAATTGGAAGGAATAAAATATTCCAAAATATTTAAAGACATTCAATATTTAAATGTTCCGTAGAAATTAGTCATTTGTGACTGTTATGATCAACTTACGTGCTGGTGTGGTGATCACTGGATGTCGAGGCATCACATTTCCACTTAGCCACATTGAGTTTCCCATCCTGTTTCCAGCAAGGACTTGAGCGTTAACATAGTGGCAGAACATAAAAAAACAAATACAAATTTGAAAACATAATCTCATATTCATCTTTAAATCTTAAAAGTGCTTGATAAAACGAGCTAAGAATTACTTAAACACTCCTCAGGCTAATATGTACAATCTCATTAAATAACACTACGCCACTGTTTTTGCAATTCAAATTAAACAGTATTTAAAAGATTTGTTTGACATTTAAATGTATGATAGAAGAGGTTAAACATCGTTTTGCGTCGTGCTTTGATGTATAGTCGTATGTGTGAATTTATAAATATAAACATTAGAAACTCTCGCCCATTATATTGCCAAAGGCAATGTTGTATTTATAGTTCTTCTTTGTGTATAGAAACCTAAATCTTTTTATTGTTCCAATGTATGGTCATTATATATCTCACTTAATACATTACGCTCTTGCATGTTCTCACCAATATGGTCTTCATAATATGGTTCCCCTTACGCAAAAACTGTTCAGGGTTATGAGGAAGAACGACATTGCACAGGTTTTACATTCACTACCACGAATTGGTTTACGGATACGATGTGTCGGTGTCTCAATTCACATGCGACATGTTTCGCAGTCTATTTTTTTTAGATGCCAGTATAGTGTTTTGATATTACTTTTTTTCTGATTGTGTGTTATTCTCAATTTATTGACATTTTGATAGGTTGTGGATTGTGGGTGATGAATCATGGTTTAAGTTCTCACGCTAGATCCATAGTCTATGACCGAAAAATCGTCATACATAATTGCAATATTTAAACTATCAATACATTATCTTTTATTAAAAATTGAGAAGCAATCAGCAGTTATTCATTTGTCACCATATTGGTGGATCAATTCCATATTGAGTAGTCGTCTTTACCTAGCTCGAAAATTTTTAATGTTTATGAAAATTGTTTAAATTTATCTTTAGCTCACCTGGCCTTAAAGGCCACGTGAGCTTTTCTCATCACGTGACGTCCGTTGTCCGTCGTCCGTCGTCCGTCGTCCGTCGTCCGTCGTGTCAAAAATCTTCTCCTCTGAAACTACTGAGACAAATTTAACCAAACTTGGCCACAATCGTCATTAGGGTATTTAGTTTAAAAATGTGTCCGACGACTCCGCCTGTTAACCTACATGGCCGCTATGCCTAAAAATATAACATAGGGGTAAAATGCAGTTTTTGGCTTATATCTCTGAAACTAAAGCATTCAGAGTAAATCTGACGGGGTAATAAGTTCATCAGGTTTAGATCTATCTGCACTTAAATTTTCAGACGAATCAGACAACCAGTTGCTGGGTTGCTGCCCCTGAACTAGTTATTTTAAGAAAATTTTGCAGCATTTGGCTATTATTTTGAATACTATTATAGATAAAGATAAACTGTAAGCAGCAATAATGTTCAGCAAAGTAAGATCTACAAATAAGTCAACATGACCAAAATTGTCAATTGACCCCTTAAGGAGTTATTGCCATTTAAAGTCAATGTTTAACAATTTGTCGTAAATTTTTGTAATCTTTTACAAAAATCTTTTCCTCTGAAACTATTGAGACAAATTTAACTAAACTTGGCCACAATCATCATAAGGGTATTTAGTTTTAAAAATGTGTCCGCTGACCCCGTCTTCCAACCAACATGGCCTACATGGCTAAAAATAGAACATAGGGGTAAAATACAGTTTTTGGCTTATATCTTAGAAACTAAGCAAAAGTATAATGGTTGCATAATTTCATGCATCATTGTAAACAAAAATATCAGGTGAGCGACACAGGCTCCTTGAAGCCTCTAGTTTAAAATGTTCGAATACCTTAAATAAAAAACGAGCCCCAGATAATCACAAACATAAATGTAAAATTGGTCAAACTCAAATACAAAGATAAATATTTAGCAGTTATTCACTTGTGCAAATTATTTTCACAATCGTCTGGAGAAGCTTTTACTCAAAAACAGCTCGATGATTTCTCTGATTTAAAAGAAACTTTTGTTTTTAGAACTATTATTATCTATCGGTTAAGTATTGATTGTGAGAGATGTTAATGTTTGTGTGTCCCATGCTCACAAATAGCTATCTGCTTCAAGCATGCAACAACGTTGTCAATTTGTGCGGATGGATCCAGATAATTACAGAAGCAACAAAACTAAATTATTGTTTGGCCAATTTTTGCAATGCAAGTAGAAAATCTGCAAGTCAGGTGTAATCATTACTGGTGATCATTGTTTAACCTATTGCACAAACCATAGAGGTGTGTGTATAATCATCATTAAAAGGTGCAAATCAAATCAAATAAACGTGTTACGAAATATTTATACTGAGTCAATTGACTTATTTGTAGATCAGGCTGACCATTTTTGCCGTTTTTCTCTATCTCCTTTTTTTTATAATAAAAGGCAAAAACTCAAAATTAGTGAAATCGTTATTAAGGGACAATAACTCTTACGACTCTTAGTCGACTTACTATTTCGGTTGTATTGATTAATTTGCAGGCCTTGTCTTGCTGATTATATTTGCTTTTTACTTTTTCGCTTTGTCTACTATAAAATTTGGACAATCACAAAAACAAAAGTGCCATCGGAGCAAAACAGAAATTGCTGAAAAAGTGATAAAAGAAACATCATTATTCACACAAGGCAAATATCATACTTCAACCTCTATATTGTGCATAGGATCTGCTTACCCTTCCGGAGCACCTGATATCTCCCCCGGTTTTTTGTGGGGTTTTCCGTTTATTTTCGACTTATGAGTTTGAATGTCCCTTTGCTATCCTTCGCTTCGCTTTTGCAGTACTTGGTGTATTAAACAATATCGGATAAATAAATAAATGAATTGGTTGACTCAGTGGCAGATTCTAGATTCATAGTTGGCCCAAAAACAATTAACAGAAAATCAATATTACAATTGGTAGGTCGATCAGGATAACTTGATTGTGTCTTGCTTAACGTTCAATGGCAATTCTTCCGTGCATATTCTGGATGAGAAACTATTTACAATTAATGTAATAGTTAGATTCTGCAGGATGGGACGACGGGGATTGAAGGCGGTATGTAAGCACGACCTTAAATGTAAAAAAACATTGGTATGGTGGAAAGGGACGGACATTTTACCTTCCGATAAACCACATATGGACCCACTCAAATAGTTGTCTCAAGGATTTTTTAACGCAAAGAGAACGTAACACTCATCGGAGTTAACGTCCCGGTTTCGACCGAGTGTGACTACGCATATATATATATATATATATATATATATATATATATATATATATATTTCGCACAGCCAAACAAATGACCCATATTAGCAAGGGTTTATTGTTTATAAGTCTAGGGGTGACAATACTTTTATTCCCTAGTCATCAATTTATATTGATTATTGTCATTTTGCATAGTTTCTTCTGTTACCTATTCTAACATCGGACTCGGACTTCTTTTGAACTGAATTTTACTGTGTATTGCTGTGTGTTTGTTTATTCCACATTGGTTAGAGGTATAGATAGGGTTGATATCTCACAAAACATGTTAAATCCCGCCGCATTATTCGCCAGTCCCAAGTCAGGAACCTTAAGCCTTTGTTAGTCTGTCATGTTTTTATTTTAATTTTTTCATTTATATGTTTCAGAGTTTATAGTGTGAAGTCAATTTCTGCTGAACTACTATACATTAATGTTTAGGGGCCAGCTGGAGCCCGTCTCCGGATGCAGGATCTTCTCGCTGTGTTAAAGACCCATTGGGCTGTTTGTTGCTCTTTGGTGGGGTTGTTGTCTTTTTGACGCATTCCTCGTTTTTATTCTCAATTTTATTAAAACAGACAGATGCATATATAGAATGTCACGCTCTTAATTGCCCCATGTCTTAATAAAGTTAGGCGTTAATTTTACGTAATTTACCATCAAAGATATGACGACAGTCACAATTCATTTTGTATGGTTAGATAATTTCATCCTCCTCTTTTTAATCTCGATCAGTTTACTGACAACGGTAAATACAAGTAGGTGCAGTACAGGAAAAGTACTCCTCTGTATAGTAACGGTATAATAGAACACCACATTTCATAGACTATTTGAAGTAACTTAACAGAGCTAAAAATATCTATCTAATTATATCATCGGTTACTACAATTTTACGTCAATGGTGGACTTTAGAACAATTTCATAAATTATACAAGGTAAACAGTACAGGAAGACTAATATAATTCAATATATCAAGTTATCTTATACAACAATTACAAAAACTTTAATGTCGTTTTTAGAATGTTTTTTTTTTATATTATCTACTGTTTCATTGAGGTCTATCATATGTGAATATGTCGTGCAGTTATAAAACTAGGAAAAGTAAGAGTTGATTTTTTGGAAAGACGGTTTGCTTAATTTAGACGTGTAAAGTGAATGACGGATAAGTAAAATAAAAGCAGTATTTCTATGTCAGCTTAAGAATGATGATCAATCTTGCCAAATTATCTCGTCTATACACGTTTTGATCGATTGGCTCAAACTTACATTACTTGACAATATAGCTGTTCAAACATAAGCTGTTGTAATACGCCTGTATTGTTTTAATTTTTTTAATTTTTCATATTTTATTGAAATCTGTACATTCGTTAGTTGAAAAATATCAAATACCAGTACCTTATCCCGGCCTCGTTAACATTAGTAAATATCATATATTCATATACAGCTGTTAGTATTTGTTAGTAATATAAATACAATTTTACATACTTAAAAAAGTATATATATATATCATGTCAGTTATATCAAATGAGAAGCTTATTATTAAGTTGATCAAATATATTGGGGTTTTTTTGTCAAAAAGTTGTTCTGTTTGTTTTAGTTTTGTATTTGCACAGATGAATTTTATATTATTTTCTCATAAAAGAACCAATATATCATACGGTAATTAAATTTCTACTAAATTATGTACACAAACACATTCTAAAATTAAATGATCAATCACGGAAAAGTATGGCAAAAGCATTCCAACTCTTACTAAAATTATCTACTCGTTTATCTTTAACAGCAATTAGTTTTTCAATGCTGTATTGATACTTTATTTTATTTTTGTTTCATAAATATTGACAAATTTTAATTCTTTTTCTTGATTCTTTATGGAAAATGACATATTTATAGTCAGATTGAAAAAGTTTTCTAACCCACGTAGATTTGAGGGCTGTGATGAAAGTGCTAAGGTTGATCATTTCCAACCCCTTCACTGTAGTCCTTTTAATACAGCTCTTTCTTT